TTAAAAATATCAACGAGATTTTATATCAAGGTTCTCGGGTATTACATAAGAATCGGTAAAGAGAGAAATGGCTGATAAAAGTTGCGCAGGTTGATGGCTGAAGTTACACAATCGCGAAGTCGGTTCCCCCGTACTTTCATGTGGTGTTCTGACCGCTTTAATTCGACGGAACTCTTTTCTAAAAATCGATCAAGAAGTCTTGGAGAGGGGAGCAAAAACTGCGCTCATTTTTTTGATTTTGAGAAAGATGGGTCAACTTCACAGAGGTATGCTTGTGATAGTCGTCGACGCATTATCATTTTTCCGCAATAATAATAATAATAATAATAATATAATTCATCTGGCGCATAGAGCAATACATAGGAATTCAAGAGATACTCGGATGCGATAATAAGCAATTAGTCGTAACCATCATCATCGTGGCTCTTATCGGTCATGTTTGACCAATTGAAGAAATTAATAACACACGTTTCTATTTTTCTGCGAACACGATCTCCGTCCGTTTCTCTAACGAAATCGCCGAGTCCGAGGGATCGGAACGAAACGGTTCGCGTGATTCGAATGAACGTGCCATTACCCGCGATGGCTCTCAATCCGCGAGAGCAGGCGTCGAACGATCGTTTCCTCGGCGCAGCTCTTCAGCGAGGACTTGATTATCCGCGCGAGAAACGCCGGCGCTCCGGGGAGAGCTCGGAACTGGTGCGTACATCATCGCTCTCCGGTCCCGCGGCGAAGACGGCGCCCGCGTGAGGACGTAGCACTCTATAAGACCTCGATCTCGGTTAGCCGGTTGCGTACGTCGCGACGTAAATAATTAAGACGGCGTTTCGGCGGTGGTGCAAGGTGCGACACCCGCTGTCTCTCCTCGCGACATGACACCGAGAGCTCACGCGTGTAGACACGCGAGGTCGGCCTGAAGGGATATATCGGCGTGCACGATGGAATGCCGGCGCGATTCCCGCGCGCGGGGGTGAAGAGGACGAGCGCTCGCGTGTATCGGTGTAAGAGGCCCCGTCGCTTTGTCCGCCTCCCAGCGTCTCCTGGGGAAGGAAACGAGCGTGGGACACGGGGTCGAGGAAGGATCGGGGCAGAATAAAAAGGAGGCGGAAGAATCGCGCCATATGCGAGAGTCCCGGTCGGTCGCCGGTACAAAGTATGGCGCGGATTCATCTGGATAAACCGCGGCGCGATCAATCACCCCGGTGATTAACTGCGCTACCTACGGAATCGAACTCGGCTCGTGAATTTATGGCGGTTTTTCTGGATAAGATATAAGGGACACGTCGAGACGTGTGACACAGGTGTTTGTGTAGGAAGTGCGCTCGTTATTGAAATAACGCGCTCGCCGCAGCCAGCGTACTACGCGCGTTTATCTGAAACACTTGACCGTGACGAGGCCGTGATAGAATGCGCTCGCTTTCTCACCTGAAATCCCCGTTCTGCGCTAATCGCCGATTCTTTCTTACTTTGTTTGCTTTGGCAAATTCTGTTTGATTTCGTACTGAAGGGGCGATAGTGGCCAGAGTGGGAAGAAAGAAAGTTGGTGGAACTGAGAAAAGGTGATTTGGTAATTGTTACCAAATTCTCCCCTCGAAACGTGTGGACGCCGACAAGATGAGATTTGCAGCCGGAGAATTATTGGGCGCACAAATCAGCGCACTTGCGAGACTTGCTTTAAATCTTAAGCTAACCTCGATTATGCCGTACAGGTGACAATGTAGATTATGAATAACGCCCGAAGTTTCATACAAATTGCTAACTCGCGCCGTCAAAATCGTGCCAAGTTTGGCCACTAACACGGTTAAATAAAGAAACATTACTCACCTTACGTAAACGTTGTTCCGCCTAAATCGAGGGCACCGTCGACATCGATGATTTTTGAAATGAATCTAACGGTCATTTTTCTAATTTAATCATTCCACGCAATAGTATACACTTACATTCGATGCGCATTATCGTAGCGCAAAAAAAGCTTTTTCTTCCAACAATTCGCGCAAATCATATCTCTCTCTCTCTCGCTTTTTATACGTATCACTTAAATTCCCGAGCCCACAAAATATACTATTGAGATGCAATGGCCATTTAGCGTAATTGCGCCTTATATAAAATAATATCGTCCGAAATTTCACTCGGGAAATACAAGGACGAAAGGTAGAGAAGTATTCGTTTTTGCGATCAAAAGCAACGGGGATGGGGTTAACTATCGCGCGCGAGTGCTCGGATGAGCACTATTGTGAATGCGGCTCCTACGCCATCGATATAACTTTCCAAGTGTAATTGAGGGAATAAAGTCCGCGAAATTTCGCGAGCCACGACGCTGGCGAGGATCGTAAAGAGGATGAGCATGTCCCGGCGTAACCTGAGGCTGCGAAGGGGCTGCAGAAACGCGACGAGGACACGTCGGGAAATGAAAACGAGGGGCGTCCCGGTGCCGGCGACGTCCTACCAACCCCATGGGGAGCCGGCACGTTATATCTTCATTAAGCAGTATACCTAACCGCCCTGTCGCGACTTCTTAGCACTTCGCAGTTCGCGCTAATTCCATGTTGCTTCTTCTTTCTACATATCGACTTCTCCGTTCACCGTTGACGCGTTCGAGTAAAGATGTTCGAGGAATGAGCGAGCTGTAATCGTCATTCTTTTTCGTTCCGGTACCTTTCGCCTCGCAAACAAGCGAAGTTATGAGTCATCTCGCGATGACGCACCGAGGTTTTGACCGTTTGCTCGAGGGTTCGGCGTGCCTCCTGAAAAATCATATCACCGTCATTTCGACGAAAGTAGACACGATCCGTTCGACAACTATCCGTCTTCACCATGCGTCAGCCTGGTATCCCCCTTCTATGTTAAACGTCGATGCGATAGCCAATACAAAAAAAGTGACTTCCCGCGCGATCGACACGCATGTCATCCGCTTCTTCCACGCTTATTAAATCGAACAACCTTAACGACCTCCTTTCGGTATTCTTCAACGGAGGAAGAACCGGCAGCTCGCGCGCGCGATAGAGAGAGAGCCTCCTTAGGATTGAAACGCGACCCTTTGTCCGGCGAGTAACGCCCGCGAGAGTCTCTCAGGGCCGACGGCGAAGGGTAGGGTTCCCCCGGCGGCTCCTGGCGATTGCCGAGGAAATTCCAGGTCCCCGAATCGCCGTAAGATCGGGACACATCGTTATGGGTCCGTGCGCTCCTTCGTACCTCTCACTCGCACCCGGGCGGTATCGGGGCGGAGGACCCGGTCCAGAAGGAGGACGCGGTCGTAAATATTCGGGCGCCAAATAATGCCGGTTCCGAGCGAGAGCAAGCGACCAGGACTGCCGCTCGACCCGTAATGAAGGACATCCTCGTTAATTAGTCAATAAATTATCCTTCACGCTCACGACGCCCGTGGTCGGCCTCCCCGTTCGCCTCTCCCACCCCGTCGCCGTTCTCTCCGGGCCGGGAGTGCCCGAATACTTTACGACACCTATCTCGCGCGACAGCACGATGCATTTCTCACAATCAGCAGCCCCGAAGACGGAAACGCGTCTCGTAGAACGAGATCCACGAGGTGGTCCATCGCGCGTTGCTCGAATCTCCGGGTCGCCGCGGCGCGTTCAACATTTCTCTCTCTTCCTCTATCTCCCCTTCTCTATCTTCCTCGTTCGCTCCCGTCTCGCGGGAACGCGTCCTCTCTGATAGCGAGGTGACGGCCTCAATCACGACGAAAATAGATGCTCGGACGCGCGAACCTGTTTCGGCAGAAGCGTCGATGCGGCCATAGCCAGGCGGCGATGGTGGTGTTATAAGAAGCGCTTTAATTGTGAGAAGTGAATACGGAACAAGAGTGTCGGCGCGGTAGAATTTTCATCGCAAATCGCGCGCGTCCGCTTAGCAGTAGCGAGCACGAGAGAATGAAATTCTATTAACGGGCGCAAAGAAGTCGGAAGTGAAGTGGGATGTGGAGGATACAATTGTTTGAAGTTTACGCACCCTTCTCCTTCCTTCTTCCGCGCGTCCCGCTTTGCTCCTCCGCTTCTCGATTAATTCGCCCGTAATAGCGATAACCGAGCTGACCGCTCGTTTTTACGTCTCCCGAGATTCACGCGGTATGCCGGCGAGATGCACCCGCAGATAGTGCAATTACCTTCGAATTCTTACGCTAAACATTGTAAGCGCGCGCTCGGCGCCCCGGTGGAAACGCGCGCACCACGCAGGTGGACAGTGGCGGTATCCTCGTAATGTCTCGCGCCGCGCTGTGCAGCGAGCATAAAGATTCGATCCTATACGCGTCCAAGTTACATACCGTGCCACGTGACCGTACATCACTTTAACTACTTCCTGGCTCGGTACAATTCTACCGGCGCACACGCGGTCGCGAAAGACGGTGCTCATCTTGCGAGGAATCGGCGCGAGGAACCGACGCGAGACGCACTATACTGCGGTCTGTGCGGCGTGTCGATGATAGGACGAGGGAAACGACGTGCACACTCGCTCGAAGGACGGACTTTATATACAAATATATGTATTCGTATCTCTTTCTTCCTTTTTACAACGGTGACATTTTCAAGAGTACGTGAACGTATGTATAATATGTAATTGTAACGTTTAATAACTATTATACAGATGTGTGTGTGTGTGTGTATTATGGATAGTTATATCACATTTCGATGCGGCACAACAGTCCCTTTTAACTTTCTATTTTCCGAACAATTAACCCTTCATGATGTACAATATGTGCATTGAGAAATCGATTTAGTTAGAATTAATAGAATTTTTGTTTGGACAAACAAATGTTTTGGTTATAAGAATCAAATTTTAGATATTTTTCAGTGTAGAGAGAAATATGCTGAGAAAAAGAAATTAAAATTTTGCGAAGTGAGTGTTTCTTATGACATTCTCTTTGATATTTATGGCTTAGAAAAAATTTGGACCGTGATATGACGGAATATATATTTTTGTGGAATATATCTAAGTTTTCTTATTAATTGGTTTATTTGTTAGTAATAAAATTTTATTTCGCCGTATTTAAACAAACGTTTTTTTCTGTGAAATAAACCTTATATTTCGCAAGTAAATTTTTAAGGTAAATCTTGTTTTCCTTAGTGTAGGATCGACGTAATTAAATTGTGAAAATTCGACAATATTGTGTCTCGGTACTTTCTGGGTTAATTGGATGTGGAAGCGCTCGGAGTGGCAGAAAAAATCTCGAGGACGTACTTGTTCGCGTGGTCCGGCGTCGGGAAGCGTCCGACGTGAGCTTCCGAGAGATGAGCGCGAAGTTCCTTGGCGAAATTCGTGCGGAACGGATCGGCTGTTTCGCCGTCGCAGAAATTACACTCGTAGATCGTCTTGCCGGGATGCAAATTCGTCGACAGCACGTGCTTCCGCAGGTTCTCCTGCGAACATAAAAAAATGACCCGTAATCTGAATCCGAGCAAAAGCGAGCCAACGATATTGCATTAGTAAGTTAGCGGCTGTACTCCTCGGCCGCGTTCACGGCAACGCGATTAATAAAATACCGCTCGGCGATCGATGCTCCCGTATTCTAACGGCCTATATTAGACGAATTAAGCGCGTTTTACGGGCGGACGCTCAATCGTTTTACGCGTTTCTCCGATTTCCACCGTGCTCGCCGAACGAGTCTACCTGCCTGTTCGGGCGCTATTAAAATTTCATTTGAAACTAAAAGCTTACACAAAGAAACCTTTCACCGCGATCGGGCGTAACGAACGAAGTCGTCGGCCCGCGAGTCGAGTCGGGTGTTGAATCGAGCCAGCCTTCCGTTCGTGCTTGTTCGACAGTGGGATACCTGGTGGCGACCGGGGAATCGGTTCGCCGCAGAACCGGACGCACGCGTTCATTGGCTACGCCGTTGGCGCATTTAAAGGCGCTTTACCCTCTCGGACTAAGTAGCCGGCCGTAGTCGTAAACATCTTCCTACCAGGCGGGCTTATACGAGCCGTTGATGGCAACGGCAACATCAAATTTAATTTCCCATAAGTAAATCTTTCCGCGGGCAGCGCTCAGTGACGCGGCGCAGATTAAGCCTCGTTCACACCGCCATGGGCGGTCGCGCGCCTTTATGGCAGCCGACCGCGAATCGGCGCGACACGGAGTGCGCGCTGTCACGCAAATCTGGCATGGGAGTTTCATTAGACCACAATCGATTCGGATTTCCACGAGTATCATTTCTCCCGTAGCGAAAAGTACACGCTACCACGGCTCCGCCCGAGGCGCAGAGATGCACGGCTGCTTTTTACGATTGTCAGGGACGGATGGTGACTCTCCGAGAGGCTTAAAACTGATCACTTTTGCTCGCACCAGCAGCAGCGACGAGGAAACGTTGCAAGGAATGTGACTACTTCTTGCAATATATTACTATAATATAATAATAACATAAATATTATTAATATAAAAATATATAAATGTATAAATCGAACACTTGATCAGGGTATTTGGATGAAATCGCTCCGGAAAACCTATCGATAGAGTTGGAGACTTGTAGTTGGCGCTAAAGAAATTGTTTGCAATAAAAATTATATATACATAGTATATGTGAGATTTTATTATTATTTTCTACTGTAGGGCAGATTTTTACTTCTGACGTGCCCGGCATTTGTTTCCAAATAGTCGTTTCGTGCGGATGCCTTATGTTTCTCTCATGTCTCTTAAGATAGTTGTAGCGTAAAATGAGTTTTTTTCAGAATTCGTTGAAATTATATATTCGTTGCACTCTATATCTAAATATGACCTAATTATTGGCGCAATTAAAAAACGATTGACCATTCGGAAGCTGAGATATTGGTAACTAAAGATGACACTTCTTATACATATTCTTTGATGTTATTTGAAGTTGATATCTTATTTTTAACTTCTATTTTTAATTTCTTCTAAACCATATATTTAGGATTTTAATGAAAAACTACTCAAGACTAATATAAAGACTAATATAAATTATACAAAAATTTCAGAATTATTGACCGTTTTGTTTTGAAAATATAACCATAGGAAATTTATAATTTATTGTAATACTCGCGATATATGTATATATATATATATATTTAAATATTAAATAATTACAAAAAAATAATGAGGTACGATTTAGATAACTAATACGAATTAAGCAACTCTTCCCTAATTATCTCTCGCGATAGAGAGATACAACCGACTGCAATTATAACATAAACATCTCGATGGATGTGCAAAAATCGTGGAGAGCATTGGACGAGTCCGGTGCATCGTTGGCTCCGCGAATAAGTCGTAAAATTTTGGAGAAAAATGGGGGAGGAGACCTTAACCTAGATCGACGTTTCATCGATGCTCGGCTCGATTCGTTCGCCTCCCCTTTCCTTCTCTTTTACCGAACGTCCTATAAATAAGCAAAATTTAATCGTATCGCATATAATATTACACAGGCCGATAAAATCATAATTTCGACCCCTGTAATTCCCTGTTAAGCCGAACTGTAAGATTTGTCGGTTGCGGAATGTGACACTCGCGAAGTGCACGAGAGAATAAAAACTTGCGGAGATAAGCGGGGAATGCGCGTGCGAGTAACGTCAGGCGTCAGCGATAAAATCTCTAATCGTTTCACATACCTCGTGAATAATAATAATAATAATAATAATAAAGCAACCTCGAAAGACGAAGATATTAATTAGCGCGGAAGAAACGTTATTCCGCCTGAATAAAGACACGCGTGAGGAATCGGCATCCGAAACGAACCTTGAGGTAAACCGATCTCAGCATGCAGTAAAAAACATTTACTTGTGTTAAAATCGGTCTTTGTTAAAATTTTTGTTTTAATTTTTTTAACACGTACGTGTGTTAATTTAATATATTGTGTTTATGTTACCTCAACATTTTGTGTTTTTGTGTGTCGATATTCAATATACATAAATATTAAAATGACACACTTTATACTTTAATATCGATTAACGTATTAATTTTGTGCTAATTTTTTACATAATATTTGTGCTGCTTTTCAGCGTATTCTTTTAAACACCTATACTTTTAATGTAACACCTTGTTAAATTAACACAAAAATTTGAGTGAACCCTTTGGGATTTCTGAAGTGTGCCACACATTTAACACAAAATATTTTACCGTGCAGCGAGTAGAAATTGTTTTCGCTTCTGCCGAAATTAAGCGATTAGCCCGAAGAAACGGCGAAAGAGCTGCTTGTGATTTCCATCGTTGGAGACGCGACGTGTTATTCCCCCTCCACGCCGTCGCGTTGCTCACGGTCTCGCCGGGGGGAGATAGAAAGTGTCTCTTCGACGACTTTCGGCGACTGATGCGAAGGAAGGAAGGAGAACACTAGTTTCAGATTCAGCGTTAACCAGTGTTCGAGGACTTACCACCCTCGGCGAAAGTTTTCCAAGTGGCGGCGGTGGTAGCGCGCTGCGAAGCGGTAGGGTAGAACGCTTTCGAAGCGAGGGTGGGAGTACCGGTCGCAAAAAAAGGCGTGTAACCATCCGAGGTAAATCATAACGTGGAGGGAAGAAGGAAGGAAGGAAGGTGGTGCGCGTAATCTCGTCGACGCAAGGCGAGCCGTCCGCTCTACGTGGCGGGGAATCCCCTCGTTAAATCGCCCCGCGCGCTGCTCGCACGTTCCTTCCTTATTAAAGTGCCGTGCAAACAGCTATCGTCGGGCCCGATACTTCTCGCAGTCTCACCCTCTCCCCCTCCCCTCTTTTCCCTCTTTCTCCCTCTCGCGCACGCCGCGTACTCTGCGATAGATTATTTCTTTTCTATCTCCGGAGGCGCGCGAATGCCACCGGTGATTTATCGATGCTTTGAGATATTTGAGTAATCGGGTAGACTCGAGGATTAACGCTTTCGATGTTGCTGCGCAAGCTGTGGTCGTTATACTTTCGAGAGATTTAATTTGCGTGCACGCACGTGCCGAGCGACCAGTCCGTTTATACGCGAGGTGTCCCGGATCAATAAACATCCTTTTCTTTATGCGGGGGAATAAAATTCAATTTTAATTAACACTCTCGCACGTGCGCTTTCGATCGGCAACGCGATGCCGAGACGATTGGATCCTTTCCGTACGAAAGACGCTCGAAAGAACACCTGATCGATGCTCGCCGCGATCAGGCGATTGGGAACCACTGGAATGAGTTTATGTCGCTATCAAAGAGACACGGAGACCTCGTATGCGAGTCGCATCCCAACTCAAGCTTCAAAGGACATTAGCATACCGGCCGCTCGGTATGACTGGGCTGTGCGTGTGTGGGCATCCAGTGAGCACAATTAACTCGTTATCTTATCGCGCCTCGGCGGCGGCAGAGGCGGCGGCGCGGTCCAAACGTTAAGGTGTACTTTGCTTAATTTACGCCACGGACTCACCCGGCGGACAAAAATTGGACTACGGCGCGAGTCAACCTCCGAGAGCCACCACCGCGATGTTTTAAGGGGAGCGAACTTTGAGTCTCGATGAACGGCCGTGAGCGTGGTAACACGTGTGCGCGCGGTAGGTCCTCTCCGAGATGGTGCGTGCGAGCGGACGCTACTGGTTTTAGTCACCGATTGTGACGTCGAGGTCGCGGAGCTTCCACCCTCGTCGACAACGTCGCTAAGGAGAAAAGTCCGATCTCGCGTTGCGAAACGTTCGAGAAATTCAATTTGTCAAAATCGGAGTCGTACGAGCGAAATGCTTGCGGTTGATAGATAATTAGTTGGATATTTCACTCTGGCTATATAGATATACAGTAAAAAATTTGGTGTAAATAACAGTCCGCTGAAGCTTTTCTATTGACGTTGAGGCTGAGACTTGAGGATTCACTCTTACTGATAGTGACGCTAAACGTTGCAAAATATTCGAGAAATAAATAGTCCACTTGTTAAAATCGGTCGAATGTTTGGAATGTTTGCGACTGATAGATAACTCGTTAGAACTTTCACGTTGATTAAATAAGGAACAGTCGAATCAACGTTCTTATTATCGTTCGTATAATCTGAAACGAATTGTATATTCCGTATATGCGTCGGATGTAACAACTCACCAGATTGTTGCACGCGTAAGAGCAGTGTCGGCATTTGTACGGTTTAGATCCCGTATGCAACCGCACGTGTCTCTGCAAGTGAGAATTGACTTTAGTTTTAAAATCGCAACCCGCGTAACTGCAACAGTGGATCTGGCGTTCCTTGGCGTTCACGGCATCCTCGTGCTTCGCTCTATGCCTGCAAACACAAATACAATCGCTTTAAATCGGCACGATAATGACGATAATCGGCGGCCGTAAAATCTCCTTGCAAATTCGCGGGATTTTATGGAAAGCGGTCGTTGCACGTTCTTTCCGTTAATTAGACCCTTTCGGTGTTGAACCACTGACGCAGGCAATTAAAGCATAATGATAAGGATTTACGTATCCGATACGCACGATTATTACCATTAAATGAAAATTCCCATTGGAATTGAGCGGATGCGAAATTTATCGGAGCCAATCGAAGCATTTTATGAAAGTCTTATTAACGCTCGGGCGTTAATATGCGGTCAACGTGGCTATTAACGCTAGATAAACTTTCTACGACGTACGCGAAGTCAAGATACTGCGAGAGAGTATCTAATCTGGAAAATATATCTGTCGGGGGACATCATCATACCGGTGTGAAGGAGCCGTGATAGTCGCGGAGAGAAGTAGATAGTACAGGTTTGTCACCGGGAGGAAATCTAGAGAGCCGGGAGAGATAGAAGCAGAGTCTTCTGAAATATTTCTAGTAGTCGGGAGGGGGGGGGGGAGGTTATTAACAACGTGTGCGGCCAATCGATTTGTGTGAACGCGTCTCTAAATTTCCGCGTAACGTACGTGAGAAAGATACAACAGAGCGTTGCTTCAATTCCGAGACGAAATTCTGGTCTTATGTTAAACTGTTAATTCTACAACATAGCAGGAGCTAATATAGCAAAATAGTTATAAAAATTCAATTTCAATTCTAATAATATAATCTCTATTTTGGCCCTGATAATGTCTTAAATTTCTGTTTTCGCTGTTTTCAAATAGGTCAAAATAGGTTGTTGTAGGTAGAATTAAAATCTGTCGAATTAAAGGTTGAAGAGAGAAGTTATATATAAAGTCATTATCGTAAAAGTAGGTTTTTATTAGTTTATAGACCGTTTAAGTAGGCACAAACTATCCTTAAGAATCGGTATCCGAGTCGAAATTTGAGTTCTGCATTAAGTCTTCGTTAAATCTCTTATTATTCTTCTATACCACAAACGGGAAGTTATTTCCGTTTTTTCCGCTTGAAAATGCAAAATTTAAAATTTCTCTCCGGGAGGCCTAAATTCCTTTTGCAGTATCAAAGGAGCTCTATTAGTGCTCCTTTAGTGTCACAAATAAGAAGTTATTTCCGCTTTCTCTACTCGAAGACTTAATGCAGGACTAAAATTTCAACTCGGATAGAGCCGAATTATTCGAGCGTCACCGGTTTCCCTTCTACGTCCTTTCTTTTTCGATTCTAGCGCAACGCATCGTGAAACTAAAACGAGACAATTTAATTTGCTTAATGCGCTATAAATCAGAAATCCACAAGAGATTAAGCTGAATAATTTATGCAAACTTACCGGCGAGTATCGTGTGCCCAACGGATCGCGGCCCGCAGATATTTCTACAAAAGTCGAACCAAGCGACAGAAACTGTCTGAGGAGCGCGTACTTTATCAACGTGGAAGAGACACGAGATCGCATCGGAGGTGTGTCCTTCTCCTCGGCGTTCCCTCCACCTCCGTATCCCGCCAAGTTCATCGTCGCAGTCGCGGCCCGGTGATTATGAAAGATGCGATATGCGTGCGCGATATTACGAGGGAGCCGTTGGTCGCGACTACGTGTATATCAGGTTCGAGATGCGTGACACGTTTAATTAAAATCCCGCGTGATTTACTCCGCCGGCGAGATCGCGGCAGGGAGGACGAGGGCGAGAGAAAGAGAAGAAGCGTAGAAAGAACGAGAGAGCCCGACGAGTGGATACACGCGGAAGAGGAGCGTCGGTGGAAGAGAGTCCGCGCGACACACTCTGCGGCTGCGTTGAGTTCGACTCACGTAGTAAGTACTCAATTCGCGATGAAATATCGCGGCTACCATCGCCATGCGCGGACGATCATAACGGGTTGCCCGCACTTAGCCGGCTGCTGCACGCAACTTCCGCTTTCGCGGTCCTCCACCTCGATCTTTCTCTCTCTCTCTCTTTCCCTTTCCCTGCCTCTCACCCTACCCGCGACCTTCGTGTTTCTTCTTTGCTCCTCGGGAGTCATCGTCAGAGCGGGAGAGGGGCGCATCGTCAGACGAAGCGAAATTTATTACAGGCGCTTCCCGCGCCACAATAGCCTTAATAAGGCTTAATTTAAATCGGATCTCTCGCTTTGGTGCGCATCCATTCGCTGGCAGGGCGCGCGTAATCGCTCCATGGCGCGGCTGTTGCAACAACGGACGCCGATCGGGGAGGGAATTTGGGATACGGTCAGGGTGTGAAGCGGTGCGAGAACATACGCGTGTTCGGGGAGATGGGCTTTACAATTAACTCGGCCAATTAACGGGTCAGATTGAGAAGGCATTCGCAATCTGTTTCGTCCTTTTAATCGTTCCGCCTCTTTGAAAGGGCCCGCGCATCAATTGCACACGTACGTCGTACGCGCGAGTCGCCCGGCGGAATCAAGATACCTCACGTCTGAATGAATCATTGAGCCGTGAATTAATTCAGATACAGATGATCCCGTCGTGCGCGTCGGGAGAGTCTTAAAATAACCGGCTAATAAATCTAGGAGATAAAAGGCGGTGCGAAAATTGCCGAGTATCGAGGCCACGCCGGGGCCCGTTTGCACAGAGAGATGTGTAATCGGATTTTCGATAAATTACTCTTCAAATTATATCCTCCCCATTGTCTCTATCAATAATCCGCGAAGATTGATTCTTTCCCTGTCCGCGTATTCGCAATTACGTATGCGTGGCGGCGCGCGACGCGCGACGCGAGTACTCGCAATTAATTCTTCGCTTCCTCGAAGGCATCGATCATACATACGCGGGCCGTGAGCCCGCGCAATTAATGGCGCAGGAATGCGTCGTTCCCGGCGGGGACCTCGATTAAAATTAATGTCAATAATATCGGCAGTCCGAGAAGTCGTGCCCGCTCTCGGCCCCTGCGAGAGATGGAGCCGTGGATCGTACGCGAACTGAATTGTTAAAAAGAGACCCGCGCGTCTCGTTCCCTCTCTCTCTCTCTCTCTCTCATTCGCTCCCTTCTCGATCCTTAACAGTAGTCATCTTACCTGCGTAACTGCGTCTTCGTTTTCGCGGCGTACGAGCAATCGGGACAGGAGTACTGCTTCTCGGTACCGTCGTGGGTCAGCTTTCGGTGCCGCTCGAGCTCCGACGCGGTGCGAAGGACCGTCGGGCAGCCCGGAAGTCCGCACTTGTACTTCTTGCCCGAGTGTCGCAACATGTGCTGTTGAAGGGCATGCCTATACGAGACATAAAACACGTCGAAGCGCGGGATATATTTCATTTTCCGAATTAAATAAAACGAGGAAGGGGGAAAGGAGGCAGAAACACATTCTCCAATATAGTTCTCAAGCGCGTTCCGCCCGGGAATTCCTGCGTCTCGCTCCACGTGCGCGGACATGTAAATGAGCAGCGAGAAATATGGGACGGTCATTAATGCTTGTTTGACGAATGGACCACAAAATAGACGTAACTCATAAAACTGCCGCGGCGAGGGAATTTTTTCCTGTATTATTCGCCTCGACGAGAGACACAAATATTCGAAAGTGATATCTCGGTATTTCGAATTCCCGTCCCGTCACGTATAACCGGCTGCTCCTCTCCTCCATTCTTCATTCGCTCAATAGCTTAGAAATATATTTGAAAAAATCTAACTTATATATGTTACAGAGACAGTGACCGTTTTGTTAATATAATAGGCAGGGTTGCCATCTGTCCCGATTCTGTCGGGATTGTCCTTATTTATCAATATTTGTCCCGCGTCCCGACAGGATGGCAGTCGAGATGCGGGACGCTGAATATCCCAATTTTTACACAACAACGTACAGACATGTTTGTACTGAATTGATGCAACACATTAAAATCGATAAAGAGCTAATTAATGCTGCTGAAAGCAGCATTTAAGAAATATATATGTGAAAGCAGAAGTAAATTAAATTTTTCATATTTTGTTAACACAAATTTTTAAATGTCTTTACGTATAAATGTCAAGTATTAATGTTATATTATATTCGTTATATCTCATTCTATTACACTTTATTTTTTGATGTTTAAACATTGTTCTATTCTGATTATTTTATTCTCAAATTTTGTTAGTATATTATATATTAATAAAAAAAGATAGCCATACACAGTAAAAAAAGTTCCATATTAAATTTAACATATTTCACACATTTGAAACAGTGCCTACAAATTTTTATATTAATTTAACACGTGATTGACAAATTTTTATATTAATTTAACAAGTGAATACGTTGAAAAGCAACACAAAAATGTCAAAAAATTAACACAAAATTAATATCCGTAATATGTTAACCGATACTGAAACATGAAATATGTTAACACTTTGACATGTCGAATATCGACTCAACACAAAATATTGCGGTAACATAACCGCAATATGTGAAATTAACACACGGGTATGTGTTGAAAATTTAACAAAAATTCCAGGAAACCAGAATCGATTTTAACACAAGTATAAAATATTTTCAGTCATGTACGATGGGCGTAAAAAAGTATGCATAAAAAAAATTGGAAGTTCCGATTTCTGTCGAAGGAAAGATGAAAATCTTAACCGGAGATGCGTGTCGCGAATAACGAACGCGCTGGCAGACGCGATGATTTCACGAGATTCAACGCGGTTAATATTAAGACAGCACAATGGTCTCGGCCGCGTATGCCCATCGTGTGCGCGCGTGCGATCATCGACGCGCGAATTCGCACGCCGCTCGTACGATCCGATCGCAGCTGTCGCGTCTTATATCAAGTCGCCGAGAAGCCGGCGGGAGCGCACTTTAAATAGTTCCCGTCACGAGGTGACGATCTATACGGTTAGTGAACTTGCCTTGTGTGTGCGTGCGTGTATGTGTGCGTTGCGCTAAGTGAGTCAACAAGACGTATCGAGGCCGGATCTAGTTGCGCGCGCGCGCGTCCTGCCGCCGCCGCGTGCTTCGCCCGCCGCGCGGAATTCCCATCCTTTAAGCGCAAGTGAAATACGAGTGCAATACGGCTGCTTTATAATTAGATGGAAACGAACATTCCGCTCTCCGCGCATCGTTCGAAAGCAACTTGAATTAGCGGAACGCCAGCCCGCGGAACTCGTAAACGCGATAAACACGTGGCGGCACTTTTAATTAACAGTCGACTCGCGATCACGACGATATAAGCGCGCATCGATCCTTGACCGCTTGATACGGTCATTTCGGATCTAATGCCATTAGGGCAGCGTTCGTCCTCGCTACCGTCTAAGCGCTACAAATTAACGCCAAGAGCACGAATCTGCCCCCCTCCTCTCTCTTTTCTCCGCGCAATAAAAAAGGAGGAAACGTTCTTTACTCTCGGCCTCAAGACAACGGATGGAACTTTAGCTCAGTTTCAACGTGGAAGTTCGTCGCGTATTTCAGAGGCGCACTTTAACGAGCACCACGACGAGGACGCGCGAGAAGCCGTACACACAGGGGGAGCGAGGGCAGCTCGTCGATGTGTTATCGAAATCGGCGGCAAATTTCCGAGAGCGCGATCGTTCGCGTACGTATCACCGGTAATCCCGATCCGGCGCATTCCTGCGGCGCCCTGCTCTCTTCCGGCCGCGGTAGCAGGACGCGAAGGACACCGATTTTTCGAGATGGCAGTCGGACGATACCGGAGAGGTCTCGCCGGGTCCGGTGGTAGCGCGCGAGGGACGAGACGGAGGTCGACTAGGACGCGGTGGCCGGCGAGGAGAGGAGAGCAAGAAGCCACCGAGAGGATCTGGGCCGTCCTAGAGGGAGCCGGCCTACCCAATTGGCTACGCAAGTGTAACGTCGAGTTTTACAATGTAAGGATATACACGCCCTCGCACGAGCGCGCCGCACCTGCGAGCCAGGTAGGTAGTCGCGCGAGCTGCGTGTCTGGACCCGCGGATACCTGCGGTGCTCTCTCCTCCGCGTGGAAACAGGTAACCGCTCACGCACCGCACACACGTACGCGCGCAGGCGCGCGGTTTCGCGTGCTTGCGCGCTTTGTTCGCTTGCGTGCGGACCAGGGGCGACAGCCGGATGAAGATAAGGGTCAGACGCGTGTGATCTTACTTCGTCATATCGGATTTCGGCCTTCTCCCGCGCGCGGAGATATCGCTAATCCGGGAATGTATCGCGGCTTCTGTTTCTTCTCGGTCGCCTCTTCCCCCCTGTTACTTCTCGGTCGGTCGGGGAAGGACCTTGGCTGGCGGGAGACGGTCGAATTGGGTCAGTTTTTAATCACACCTCGTTATCTCTCGGAGTCTTTTCGCGCGAAGACACACACACCGTCCATTCGAGTCGGACGATGCTTCTCCAAAGGCATAAAAAGCGAGGCGTACGAAGCATTCTGCCTGGGAGTAACACCTGCGAACTTGACAGTGACGACATACATGGAAAAAAGGAATTAGCTGTCTATGTAATACAACTGAAGTTTAGTTACCAGGCTTAGTTTTTAGCCGTGGGAGCTGAAAACTAGATACAGGAAAATTAACCGAATTAACTACACTTCAATTGTATGACACGGACAGCTAATTTTTATCTGTGGGAGCTAATTCTTTTTTCCGTACGGATCTCTCAGGTTTACATCACGAAAAACATGGTTGAAATCGTGGTTTCTTGCATTTTTTAAATTACATTTATTAAGTTTATTATCAATTTGTATTTATTGTAAACTGATTGCTACCGGGAAATCAGTTATCTCATTAGATCAGGCTAATAATATAGTGGTCGTGTGGATCCAACTTTTTTTCTGAATAATAGAAAAGTAGGAATGAAATATAGCGTTTTGCACAAAACGTGGGAGAGAGGGTAAACGGAAGAAAAACGCGTGTAGGCTTTGTAGTCCTAAGATGTTACTGTCAGAGTTAAGAGGACACGCACGAAAGCATCCGAAGAGTACAAAAAAAGGATCGGGATAACTTTCGAGGTATCTTTGCTGCGATATGACACGGATGTCTTTTTCTCCTTTCTTTTTGTCTTCAATACGCGTAAGAATGCATCAATGGATGAGCATGTAATGCATATGTAATGCAGACGGGCAAATTTGCAATAAAGTAACTGAGATGTGGGTGGATAAAATCTCACATTTCGCTGGCCGCTGAAGATTCCTTAAAATATGCTCTGCGAAGATGTTAAACCCTTCCCCAACGTTAAGCTGTTTGGCACCGTAATGTTCGAGAGTTTATGTCCGATGGATTAAGCGTTTTCGGCCCCTTTGACCGCAGCACCGGGTATTTTGATTCCCCGTCGCATTTTTTATCCTACGCGATACCACCGTTTCCTCCTCTCCGGACCCTCCCCTCGTGCGTCTTGTTTTTATCGCTGTAATTACTGTAATTCTTTTGACCGGGATGTCTATAGTCTATAAATTCGATAATCCATAAATGAAACCTAAGGGAACTCGGGATGCTTTTTTATAAACGCGATCGTCCGGGCTCTTCTCGCGCTCCAAAATATTTTAATTTGATGCAAAGTCACGCGAAAACGAAATACATAATTGGCACTCTGATCGCAACGCGAGTATAACACGCGCGCGCACACACATACACACACGTATTAATTAGTATATTCACCTGTAACACTCGAACTATATCGAGCAAAAAGCTCGAATGTTGACGTGCGTGTAACCATTTCGTGCGCACACGAGAAAGATGCATAATTTAGTTAGCCGTGCGAGCCGTCGTTTCACGTTCACGGGGCGTACCGTACACCGCGGAAATAATAAAATCTTCGTTTACAATAAAATCAAAGAAATCGACCCCGGGAGTGGCGCGAGCGTTCGGGCTGTTTCCTCGATAGAAATTAATAACAAGCGCGCCTCCGCGCCGTAGTTTCTGCGTGTGGCTGTGCGGCCGTGGTGGAATCGGTTCAAGGTCCGCTTCATGAACGCCGTAATTGCGTTGAATTATGACGGCCGTAGTGTGGTTCGGAGACAAGACTTTTCCGGCGGATTGAAGCCGGCGATAAAAGTGACAGCGACATGGAATACGTGTAAAGTCGTGCTTTCTCACATCGCACGCCTCGTGACGCCTCGAGGAGAGATATTCCTCCTCGCGCGAATAATAACGCACTCTCTCGCGTCCCATGGAAGACACGGTGTACACGGAATCCCACTTGGCGCGGAGCGACGAGGAGAAACTCATTTTCGACCCGACTATTGACGCACTATCAATTCCTCCTCGAGTAACAAGCGCGTGTGACCAGCGATGGTACTTGGGACGTTTAGACGCAGGTACATCCGC